TATGGCTGAGATGATTTGTGTAATATCTGACATCTCAAACCCACCTTCATAGTTTTCTGTATTTATGTACCTATATAAATATATTTATGTTTATGCATTAATGGCATGAACAGAAATATTGTAACAAAAATAGCTAATGGAGCTGGGTCATGACAGTGAGTTCACCCCTTGCACCCAAGTTCGAGTTCCCAGTACTGTATATTAGATTAACATAAAGCAGTTTAGACTATCACTTCTATCAAAAAAAAAGCTAGAAGAGGAAAATTGTCATATAATATATATAGCTGAAATTTATCTGTGGCCACAAATATATAGCTTATATCAAGTGTCTAACCAGAAAAGTAGAAGAATCCAAAAAAGAAAATTAAGGAGAAAATTATAAATCAGGTAAATAAATTACAAAACAAAATATGTAAGGCTTGAGAGAGAAAGAGTACCTAGGAGAAGCTCCAATGAGGATGAGGGTCTTGAAGAGGTCAGGTCTGTTAATGGAAGCAATGCATCCAATCATACCAGACATGGAGTGGCCAACAAAGACAGTGGATTTCAAGTTGAGCTCATCCAAGAGGGCAATTAAATCATTTGCAAAGGCATCATAGGAAGAATATTTGCTAGGATCAAAGAGGTCCTTGTTGTTAACAGCACCTGAGAAAGGCCAGTCAAAAACAACAACCCGGTAATGCTCAGCCAAGTAGGGGACGATTTTGTCCCACACAGACTGGTCTCCTCCATACCCATGAGCTAGAACTATGGTTTCTTCACTTCCTGATGAGCCCATAATTTTTGTGTTTATGGCTGATGAAAGGCTCTTTTCTAGCACCATTTTTTTCTGGTTTTTTTTTCTTTCTTTTTTATGCAGTCCACCAAGAATGATTAAGAGACAGAAAGACCAAGAGAGAGAGTGAGAGAGAGAGAGAGAGGGAGGGAGTTGTGGACTTAGGATGATGAGAGAGCTAGAACAATTGGGTTTGGTATTGTTTGCTCATTTGTGTTGGCCCTGGCTAGCCTCCATTTTATAGGACCACAGGAATGGATTATTGGGCAAATAAAGATAAATAGGAAGACTTAGTGCCATTAATGATTGAGATTATATTGCTTGGTGGTGCTTTTTAATTAATAATTTGTATCTTTTAATTTGTTGTAAAAAATTTAAAATAAAAATTATGTAGTTTATGTGGTTGGAGAATCACCTGTTTATATAATATATATATCTATATATATACTAACTCTTGAAAAGAGGAAGTTTCAAAAGTAAAGAACATGCGATGATGAATTTATGGTGATCGTTGGGATCATTAGTGACCTTGACTTTTGGTTTCTGTAGACGGCCTCCACTAGATAGAAAGAAAGAAAGAGAGAAAGACCAGAATCCTGCGTGTTGAATCTTATTTTCTGCATGTTGTTAATGGCAGGCACCCTTTAAATCAATACATCAATTCTAATTAATTTTTACCACTGCTAAGGCTAAGGCTGATCAGTTCTCTCTATATCTGATAATAAGACTTGAATCAGTTTGGGGGTGAAAATTATGCAAAACTTAAGACTCAGTTTAGTTTAATCTCTCATGATTTGCAATGAGCCAGAGCCACAGAAATTTGTTTAGCTGGTATTGTTTAATGATGAAATATCATGCTGCTGGTTATATAAGAGAGAGAGAGAGAGAGAGAGAGAGAGAGAGAGAGGATCTGCATAAGGTTTTGTGGGATCAATATGGAGAAAGCATGACCACAAGAAGAGAAGAAGATGGCAACTTTACTGGTCGTATAGTCTGTCTGGTACTGACCAGTGGGGATTTCATATTTTAAGAACATGGTTCTTCCACCCAAAAGGACCCATTTGTCTTTTTATGCTGATTGTGCTGTGACATAAGAAAAGTTTTGAGATAAGTCCAAGGCCAACCTTTTTCTGCCATTAAAGCTTTGCATGGCCCGCCACCACGTTCTTTCTATTCATCATCACAATTTTTAAACCAGATGCAGGAACCTGTATCATCGAAATCCAGACCTGTTATTTTCATATTTGATGTTTTTGCCATTTGTGTTGTCCCTTGGGGTTGCCAATGGATGGATAGTTCCATCCAACTAAATAAAGTTCTTGATCGATTCCAGTTAAAATTTTCCATTATAGCGATTCTATACCATAAAAGAATCAATTATGTCGAACATGACATGACTAAGAAAAACCGATTTACGCCAAAAAAGGAAAAAGAAAAACCGATCAAAACTGCGGTAAACTCAGGAATTTGGCCTAGTATGAAACCTCTCTTCTGCTTATTAGGAATTTAGAGAATATGAATGATGTGATGGTAGATCTGAAAGTAGCCACTAACTAGTGGAAAAGACTGAAGAGTGGTCATCAACTTCCTATAGTTAATTAAAACCAACCTTCTTGTTCCCAAGGACAGAGATAAAAGACTTTTGGAAGATTATATTCAGATCCTCGCAATGGATTTTGTACTCTTTTTGAACAGATTTGGGGAAGATTCTCTTGTCAAAGTGTATAGTAAAAAGGAAGAAAATAAGAAAAAACAAAAGGAGAGCACAAAACAGAAAGCAAAAAGACCTCACAATTTGCTAAAACAGTAATTTACACGGATAATATATGTACTTGTCTTTCACAAGTTTAGATGGAGATATTTAGTTGAGTCAATTAGAATGTCTCATTTCATATGCTCTCTCTCTCTCTCTCTCTCTATGAAACTAAACCCAAGTTCAACTAGATATATAAATCCATGTTGTGACAACAGACAAGACATTAATTGAATGCTATCTTGTTTGGATGGGAGAAAGAAATATAGTTCGAGAACATATCCTGGATTCCTGGGATTCTATATGATCAGAAAAAGCATCCTCAAGAAAAGAAGGGATTGAGGCAGAGCCAATGGAAACAGACAAGCAGTGGCAACTGGCAAGCAAAGATTTTGTCTTTTCTCTCATGCTCCAGTCACTTTTGGCTGAAAGTAACTTTTTTGAACAGTTCAACTATTGGAGTGTTCATATATATAATTGTGTTTGTGTTGTTGATATTTCTATTATTGCATTTATGGTGACATATATTATTGGCAATTTGATTTGCAGGAAAAAAAGAAAAAGAAAAAAGTATTTCCATCTTGTCATGCATGATGCATATTAAGATTAATTCAGTTCAAATAAATAATTACAAATATTTATTGACTTTTTTTAATATGAAAATTGACACAAAAATCTCAGAATTGTTGTGTTGAACTTGAATCAAATCCTTCAGCCACCTCAGGCTCTCTCAGCTAACAGATGTAGAATTGATGAGAAGCAGGCCCCAGTTATGCCATGTGATGTAAGGCCTCGTTTGCAAAAACATGTTTGACAAGATTTGTCTTTAAGGCCACAAAGCCAGGAGAAAAGAAAAATATTTGTCTTGCTAATTAGCAAGATTTTGTTGACCACACAGCCAGCAAATAGGTTTAAAGTCTGAACCGAATCTTGGAATCTAAGAAGAAGCCGAATTTTGGGTTTTTACATGGTGGCTGCTCTGCTCATCCAAATTTACTGCTGTTCTTCTGCTCCAACAAAAAGCAGGTAAGGTGAATAGTTATATAATTTAACACATTTCACATGTGGGTGGTGAATAGTTATATCATTTATTTATGGGGCATATAGGGTTGTTGTGAATCTCATACCTAATACAAATAGGTCACTGTCATAATGCGTATTTGCAGTAACATGGATGCCTCTCTCTCTCCCTCTCTCTCTCTCTCAGGAGGAGTAATGGGACAGCTGCACATGCATGTATCAACAGCATGGAGTCAATAAAACCATGACCATACCCATCACGTTATGTTAAGAGCCTCTGAGTAGAACTTGATTCTAAAAATCACCAGTTATGAGTTCTATTTTTCAGTATGAAATCTTGAGTCTAAATCCGTCGCTTCAAGACAATATATACTTGTCTGTTCGGTGTCAATAACACTTGGTTGGCATATCCTCTCTTTTCAAGTGCCACTTAGATGGGATTATGCATGTCTTGGTGCAACCATACAAAAGGAGAAAATTAATTGCATGTTAGGACAAGGACTTAAAATGTTTAAAAGGTGTATGAACAAGCGGTTGCCTTATGTTTCATGCCAAAACTAATAGATCCAACCAGATTCCAGAGGCTTAAAACAACCTGGCATGGCCGAGAGAAAAGAAAAAAAAGATCGAAAAGGTATACTGGCATGGATGGTAATATCATCTTGTCTTGTGTCACACACAGGCATGGTTAAACTTAAATCCTGCAAGAACTCCTTTGTTGCAGTTTTGCCATTAAAGCCAAAAGTTTTCCAACTCGTTCAAAAGCAGAGCATTGACTGTTTCAAAAGGACAAAAAGGTGGTTTGAAAGCGTAAAAGCTAGTAAAGGCTGTGAAGGGAAAGAAAAGTAGAGCGAATTGTGGACGCTGGAAGAAAACTAAATGCAAAAAGGTCCCCATTGAAAACAGTTGAAGAAGACATTTATAGTTGCTTGTGCCATTCGAACACCCTTTCTTGGAAAAAATATTAATGATAATATCTTTATGCAGATATGCTCTCATTTATTGGGCGGTTCCTAATTTTGATTAATACTGCAATAACAAGCAGCCCTTTTAGAACTGCTTCCGGCTGTTGTTTCTGACCTCTTACTATTATGCTTGTCAGTTGCCTTTTGCATTAACTTTGAGGCTGGTAGGAGATGCATTTAATTTCAAAATCTCTGTTTTCTGATGGGGTGTTTCAAAGTGGTGCATTTTGATCTGCGAATGGCTGGAAGTTTGTCTTTTCAATTTGCTCGAAGCAGATGAAAAGGATCATAAATACAAATTTCTGCAAGTTTCGTTTCCCTGAGACAATAACACTATTTCTTTTCTTGAAGATATACAAAGATCCATTTCAATTTGTGAAGAATTATATATATCAGATGATTTGTTGAACTAGTAGGGGTTCAAGATCCTAACTTTTGAGTTTGAACAAGCACAAAGAGGGATGAAATTTGGAATGATGAAGACTAGTGGACCAGATTTAGTAAGATTTTCATTATCGGAATGGTCTTTTACAAATATGCCCCGAACCCAGGAACATCAGAACTCCAGTCTAATTTTTACAGAAAAACTAACTGTGTGTGCTGTGTGGAAGGATCTGTGACACCCTATTAATATTCACTTGAAGCTATCATACCTGTTGAGGGCAGAAAAGAACAACATTAGTTTATTACCATTAAGGATGATGCAGTAAAAGAGATAAATAGTAAGAATGTTAACTTGCCTGGGAAGGAACTCGTCGAGGAACATCAACTAGCCGCTCGATTGTCTGCAGCTGATCATAAGGTGCAATCTGCACCATTATATAAAAATTTATACATTGATCATAAACAATTTATTTTGACTTCAGAAAAAGAAAAAAAAAGAAAAGCAATCTGGGTAATTAAGCCATTTTGAATTTTGAATTTAGTCCACACTAATTGCGGAGATTTGGCATGCTTTGCATTTCAGTAAAAAAGGAGTTAGGTTGTCGTGATTCTCGTGAAGTTGACACTTTCCTTGCATAATGCTGGTCCGTTTCAAAAACTTTTCACAGTTTGCCAATGATGAAATCATCCAAGATATGGTTTCTTTTAGTTGATTAATTCAAACAAGACATTTTTTTTACCTGACTAAATCCGTCTGGCCACGTTATTGAGACGGCATAATTTCCCATGGGCCGAATCTCTTCAGGTTCAATATCTTCTGGAACATCAGCAAACTGCAACTTTTGCTCCCCTGTCCATTCATCCTGATTTTGCACAAAATTAGCCACTGAGACATGTAGATTATTGGGAACTTATGACAACAACCACAAAATTCAACAACGATGATCTCTCAAGGCCTTTTTTTCTTCCTAGAAAGTAACATTTTGTTTTCTCTGAACCTTTACCATTCAAAAGGTTTGGTCACTTCACTATGTTTCCCCATCAACTAGTCTATTCAACGTTTTGTTTCACATGCATTTCAACTTACACTCTAGATTAATCCAATGACTTTATTAAAGCTACAGGTAAGAATTTGACAGCCGGATTATTACTTTCTTGTGCTTTAGAACATAGTTATCGCTGATGTGGAGCGGAAGAAGCATGGTATTGAAGGGTGAACGTCATATAACTAAACATAATCTGCATGTTATATTGCAGCAATAGTATGCTACTTTGACAACAAACTGTACACTTTAATGCTTCAAAAATAAATCTCCGCATACCACACTTTGAGCAGAGCGGTCATTCCGTCTCACAGTTGCAGGATGGAGAAGAAATGCTTCATCTGAATCCGGTACCTTCACTCTTATTGCCTTGATAGATTTGTCGTAGGTCACAGCTGTAGACACTAGAATGAAAAAGGATAGTAAGTCATCGGAAAGAGACAAGTTTCATGAGAACAGCCCAAAACGAAACCATAAAACACACAGCAACTCTTAGTCAACAGCATGAGAAAGGAATAACAAACTCAGATATATGTTCCAACAGTGAGTGAATTGCAAGCCTCCAAACTTCGGCCAAACACAAAAGTCTCAACAATACATTTTAATTTCGAAGTTCTGAAAGTACAATAATTTTTTATACAAAGTTACTGGTACTGGGGAAATGTTCTGATACACTTTTTTAACTTAAGATAGGATACCTTGTTGGCGAATCTTAGCACACTGTTGCACAACACAAATTCCGATGTCCTGAAATGTCTTAGAAACTTCACCTAGAGGATCAGCTACCACTTCAGGCGTTCCACTATCTCCAGAAGCAGATAGCTGCCAGATATATGTCATCAAAATTTTAAATGGGTTCCTGCGTAGGACATATTTCACATAGACAAATATTTTCCGGCTTTTTATACTACTAGAAACAAATATGATTGACAGAGAAATATAGGACTTACAGTTGGTCTAATGGGAAGGTCAAACAGATTCGGGATACCGAACTGCTCTACAACCTGCAAACGTGTGCATCAAACTATTTCAAGTTTCAAAATACATATGCTTGCACATAAAATTCTGCTGGTAGTGCACAAACTGCCAGTACTAAGATTATCCAGATATTCTATAAAGAAAGAAAGTAAATTCTTCCATAATATGCATGCCTGAGAGCCCGATCCTCTACCAAATGGGTAATAACGTTTCCCATCAGCATCAAAATGGCTCATATTCTCGACTACAGCAACACATGGCACCTAAATGGATGAAAATGAGAATAAAAACATGTTGGATAAAAAGGTTATAAATGAAATTTAGCATGAACCTCACTATAAACTTGCTGCTACTTGTGATGAAAAGTTACTTTGTAATAATGGAGTATTGTGGGGCGGAAATACACACCTTAAGCTTTGAAAACATGCGAACTCCTTTCGCAACATCAATAAATGCTAGCTTTTGAGGGGTGGTAACAATAACAGCAGCAGTTAATGGAACAACCTGAAAATCCGACTTTGTCCAAATCAAAACGTAGAAATCTTGAATAGAAATAGATTTGGACAGAATATCCACATCAACATACTTCATAAGATACTAAACATAAAATGATAGCAAGCCAAACAGAAAAGCAGGACCTGGCACAAAGTAAGCTGAATATCACCAGTTCCAGGGGGCATGTCAACAACAAGGTAATCCAGCTCTCCCCTACATAGTGAAGTAACCAGATTAGATGCTAACTATGACCAGAAACATAATTTAAAAATGAATTACATAGATGTACAAATTTATAAGGAGCCCTCGAACTAAATCTTTTAAGTAGAATAATGGAGATTCATGCACATAAGCAACGGTTTCAAACTGAAAAAAAGGCACAGTGGAAACTTCATAAACAAAAGCTTCACAACAATATTATCATTGGATGGCAGTTAGTGATAGCTTCTGATTTGCAAATCAGTAAGAAATGATGTCATTATATGAATCTGACTAGCTACTTATGATTGCAATTTAGTAAGCAATGATGCCACTAACTTTGGACAACATGAATTGGTAATTGTCAATAAATCCACCAAACTTCATCAAACTTTCATATTCTTTCTTAAAGCTACTTTCCTACTCCATAGAAATATGCAGAACTTTGGCAGTGGCACAGTAATTAGCTCGTGAAGTGAGGATAATGATCAAAAGAGTTTTCATAAATGATGTATAATTTATTATTGGAAACATGCCATACCACTCAGTTGTAGTTAGCAGTTGGTTGATGACCCCAGAAACCATTGGGCCTCGCATTATTGCACGACCTTGTCCAGCAAATCCAAAAGACACCAACTTCACTCCCAAGTATTCAGTAGGAATTATGGTTTTCTTCTCCGGGTTCTACAGGAAGTTTTTAAACTGTCAGAATTGAAGCACTTTACTAATTGCAAGAAAAATTCTGCTAAATTTGTTGGTATTACCATCACTAGTATTCGGTTCTCAGGGGAGACCATTGTTGGTAAACTTGGACCGTAGACATCCGCGTCAAATATACCAACTCTAGCACCCATACCAGCCAAAGTATATGCCAAGTTTACTGCTACAGTTGATTTTCCCACGCCTCCCTGCATACATTTCACAAACAGCAGCAACAATACATAATTAGCAGAGACGGAAATTCAAGCTAAAAGATATGGCACCATCAAAAGTGTTACAAACAATAATCAAACAATAAAAATTGAACTGAAATATGAATAGCTCAAAAGCCACATACCAGTAACGGAAAGGAACCTAAAAGGACATGGAAAGTCTACCTTGCAACTAGAAACTGCTATAATATTTGAAATTGTCTGTAACCCTGCCGGAAGTTGCTCTGCATAAATGGGCCTTGCTGGCTGCGCTGACATAGTCACACTGACATTCTTGACCCAAGGAAGCAAGTTCACCACCTCATTTGCCTTTTGTTCAAACTGTAGAGCAATTGAAGCTTGTTATGTTTGCTAGTTCCTAAATCATTTTTCTCATACAATTTCAATTGCCCATAAAATGCTACCAAAAAGAAGTATAATAAAGTTAAAGATTTTTCTCTCATGATCATAGAAGATCAAAATCATGCAGCTGATGGCAACAGTTGCATCTTTCCATGAGAGATAATTCATGAAAATAACAAGGAAGAAATCAAAGAAATAATGAGACTTCACATAATTCCACTAGCAAGCAATATCAAACGCACTTATAAATCAAATCTACCATATCAAACATATGTGAGTTCTTGATAAACAAATAGTGACTGTGTCAATTACCATGTCCTTTATTGGACATGCTGGTGTAGTGAGCTCTAACCGAAAAGAAACCTGAGATAAGAAGTCAATATATTCTGGTAAGGACATTATGCTTTATACGTCTTTCATTGAAAATTTTCCCATACACGCTCTAAATGACCTCTCCCAAAGCCTCATTGATGTGCAGATCCTTCACAAATCCACATGAGACAATGTCTGTCCCGAAGTCTGGATCAATGATTTGAGACAATGCTTTCAGTACATCACTCTCAGCTGTCCCCTTTGACATTGCAGGAGCACCAGCTACATCTGAACAAAACGAATAGGAAAATGTAAAATAACTAGAAATCAATATCATCAGATTTCAAATAAATCTATTCAAATTTTTGTCACAGAATTGTTACTCATAACCATAGAAATATACATATATCCATACCCATAGAATCACAACCTTCATTGCATTTTTCCAAATTTATTAAATCAAAGTCAAAATATTTGGATCATTTAGTCCACTTCCTCTTATCTGATTTTATATCAAATTCTTGGCACTTTTAATATTGAATGCCAATGTCTAAACTTCGGAAACAATTAATTATAAAGATAAATTCTTTTTGTAATGTTTTTTCTCATATTTTCTGGCTTTCACTACATATAACTCTAACAGCTCTTAATCTGAAACAGGGCACCCTTGACAAAACAAACAACTCAAACTTATCCACCGCAATAAAGTGAATTGTGCAATATGGGAAAATGGGTTTGGTCAAGATGTAATTATAAGCTGCTGGGTTTGCTCAAAGAAGGTGGAGAAAGTTCACCTTCCAAAGAAGCAGCTTTAGCTGTGAAGGAGCTCAATGCAGAGCCTCTACGAGATGCCCATTTAGACCTTTCAGGTCTTTGCTGCTGAAGAGAACAGAAAATAGCTGATGATAATTGAAGAGGCTTCTCATATGAAGGCAGTCCTACAACAAGAACCAAACCAAAGTCAGTGCTTGAACTTAATCAAAAAACGAGAAGACACGAGCAGAAGGAACAGAGCAAATCACCAGCTTCTTCATGGGTTTTTACGTTTTGAAAGGAGAGGCAGAGTGAAGAAGGAACATGAAGAAGTTGCATGTTTTTGTGAGAGAGAGAGAGAGAGAGAGAGAGAGAGAGAGATTAAGAAATGGGAGGTGAGAGAGAAGCAGGAAGTGATGAGTGGCCAGTGTGAAGTGTGAACCTCCTGTTTCGTATTTTGCGTGTCATGTGATGTGATGATATCTCTGAAATGTAATCTCATAATCTCAACAATCCAATCCGCTTAGCCGAAAACGACATCGTTTGCCTTGTGTGCTGACTTGGCGCCTTTATAACCAATCTGGTTGCTCAGGTTTCCGGGGGTGTATTCAATTAAGATTTTAACATATTTAACGGTCCATGCCATTACACATAATTTGAACGTAGTAGCGCTTTGTTCAATAGATAAAGACCTTCGTTTTACTTGGATCTTCCCATTTGAATAACCAACGGAAGAGCTTTTACAAAATTGGTTTGCAACTTTCATCATCTAAAATTGGTGGTTGTTTACTAAACACAGAGGGAGAGAGGAGAGTGCGAAGGAGAAAGAGGGGTCAGGGGAGGGAGGAGGAAAGATAGAAAAAATTAGAAGAAAAAAAAAAGTGGAGGGAAAGGAGGAAAAAGGGGGACTGTGCTGTGATGTGGACCCTTTATCGTCTCTCTTATGAATTTTTTTTTTATATACAGTAAAAGGCATGAAAAAATAATGGGGAAGAAAAAGTATGAGAGCATATATGAGAATCATGCATAGGAGGGTGTGATTTGTTATGTGATTTGGTATATATATCACACAATACACCATTTAATGAAATACATTAAAATCAGTAAGTTTTTGAATACCACAGTACTTTTTCTTATCTATTAAAAGTCCTAATTGAATACCACCAGACTTGTATTGATTATTTAAAAATCCTAATTGAATACCACCAGACTTTTATTGTTTACTTAAAAATCCTAATTGAATACTGCTGTATTTTTAAGCTTCAAAATAATCCATTAAAATCTTAATTGAATACACCCTCCTTCGTTTCGTGGGGTCAATCAAGCAGCAGCATAGCCCACCGCCTACAATTTCCAACGACATGTCGTTTGCAAGGGAACTGCGTGCCATTTTTTCTTCCAATTAATTTCTTCTCCTAATAATCAAATATAATAAAATATTTTTGAACCTTTTACTTTTTAAAAAATAATAAAATAATTTGATAATTGGCATTTTAATTGGATTAAAAATTTAAAAAAAATGTCAAATTACCACCTAAGTAATCAAATCCAAATTTAACAATTTGTTAGAGATGCTCTTAGAAGGCAAGAATCAAAAGCCATAATAATTCCCCAAATTCCTCAACATGGAATCACAAGGCGAAGACGGAACAAAAGAATAAAATGTAAGAAATGATGACTGAGAAGGAAATGTAGGCATGTTTAGTCCATGCTAGACTCATGTACCCTTCTTTGAATTTAAGAAGGCAATGACAGCAATGATTGTAACTATATCTTCTTCAATGATTAAATTCTACAGCTTCAAATGTAACTAGGATAACTTCAGGGGCGACAAATGTGTCCTACAGCAGAAACCTTGCATACAAAGGCCTCCCTCCTTCCCAAGAAAAATCAGTGTCTTCCCAATCAGTGACCGAAATCTTTTAGCCGGACGAATCTTGTCCGCAATACGAATTAAATCACTTGTGACAATGACTAAGAAAAAATGCCTGTACAAAGACTGGCAAAATTAATCAGAGGCTATTTATCTCAGCAGAAATAGAAATTAAAGATGAAGCATATAGTAATTCTTATCAGAATGCCTCGCCCCGGCCTTATTTAATGCCACAGCTTACTGCAGAATCCATTCCGAGGCCTCTTGTTGGATACAATGTCTGAAAAGGAGTCAACTAACTGTCCTGCCAAGCTACTTGGATCATCAATCATAGTTTGAATAAAGGTATTAACCACCCTACGCTCCTGCTCAGTTGATCTCAAACTAAACCATGTTAGCAATTTCAACCTGAATTCCTGTGTAATGTGACCCTCACATTCCAGCCACCGGATTATTTTCACACAGTACTCGAAGTTCTCGTCCAAGCAATAAGAACCGTTAGACATATGCAATGGTGGCCCATTTATCAGTGTGCTGTCACAATCATGAATCTCTTCATTTGTGTTTGCTGCCCTCTTCCTGCAGAATTCCGCCCGGGAATCAACAGCTGGGACATCTCCATTAAGCCCATGAGTCCAGGTCTGCGAATCACCACTACCATGTGATCTTGCCAAACCATTCTTCACTAGGTCATGAGAAGCAGCATCGTCATCTGCTTCAACAGCCCGCTGCAAAGTGCATCCATTATCTTCATCTCTGGAGGATTCAAATGGGGGGGTTAGTTCTTCATTCAGATCAGGCACTGAAACAACATTTAAGTCAAGCCCACGTGAAACAGATGGCAACTGTTCTTGTGGAGTTTCAATTTTTATCGTGCTGCTTACTCCACAACATTTTTCTACATTGGCACTACAGAACCCCTCAGAGGAGCCTTGCTCTTGAGCCCAAGCCAGACGAAGTACCTTTCCAAGATCACGAACTTTAAATTCAGAAGAAGGACCAACTGCTGTTGTAGTTTTAGACTCTCTCTTGGCACTAGAATTTTCTTCGATGGTCGGATTCTCTTTCTTATGATTCCTGGAGACCGGTGAAATGGGGTTTTTGCGAATTATCTCAACACTCTTGGTGAAACACTTTGCCTCAGAGTGACCCAAGTCACCAGACTCCGTATAAGATATTATCCTAAATGTATACTCTGTGCAAGGCTGCAGATTGGATATCAAAATCCTTCTCTGAGATCTTGGAAAGATACAGCTAGGCTCTTTTGTGTGTGATTCTTCTCTACTCTTGTAATACCAGAGCTTGTAGCCCTTAATATTATCAGACGACGCATTAGACAATTCAATCAATATAATCACAACAGAGGAAGATGCTACTTCTTCAAAAAGAAACTTGCAAGCTGCAGGAAGTGAACCCTCTGCAGAGGGACAGAAACAGAAGTAAACATTCAAATGTTCCATGCATGATCAAGAGCCAGTAAAAGGAGAAAAGAGACGAAGTAGTACGGTTTCCTACCTCTGCAATTTGGATCCACATTTGAAATATTGGCCAGCCATTCATCTGCTTTCTCAATTGCAAGAGAGCAGAGTTTCTGCACATCACTTGCAATAGAAAGTCTGCTGACTATCCCGCGTGCCATCTTTGCAGAAACGCCATTCACTGGGCCCACTTCTGTCTCTAGTTTAGACTTTGCTTCCTTCACAATCTCATACAGTTCTTTAAATCTTGAAGTCCCATCCAGGAGCCTGTAACTCAAGTATATCCTATAACAAAGTACATCAACACGACGGGCATCCTTGGCTACAATTAGCTGCTTCTTCCAACTTCTGCCAGTATTAATCAAATCACACAAGTAACATCAGCCAAAGGCTAGAAACCTATTAACAAAATACAGAGGTGTACATGCCATAATTGCTCACTATATTGGGGTGGAAGGTCAAAGAACTTTTCAAATTCGAATGGTACACTCACAAAAACCCAATTTATCTTTCCTTCCTAAAAAAGAAAAGAGCCCGTATTATCTCAGTAAAATCATTTCCCAGGCAATACAACATTTAAGGAGTTGGACATGTATAACAAAATCAATGTTTATGCAAAGGCATCTCTTTACAGAGGCGAATAAATTTTTTTTTTTTTTTTCCAAAGGACTATAGCCCAAAGTTCTTGACAAAGAGAATTTATACCGAATAGCAAACATAATGAACATAACCTGAAAAAAGATTACTAAATGGGGGGCAAAAAGGTTTATTTTTCGAGCTCCCAAACTCAAAACATTTAAGTGACTTATTATGTGCCTGAAAAAAAATTCAATGCTTCAAACCTACTTCCATAGTTGCAGAAACCAATTTGTAGGGCTGGGGAGAGAGGACAACGGATAGCCAGTCAAATTGAGGACTACCATTTCAACCTAAACTCACAATATGCAAGATAATTACTTACCCAAGTATCCCAGAGACTTTACCACAAGAAGCGCAACAATAACTACCATCTAGCTGCATCAATTGCCCAAGATCAACAACTCCCACCTTTTCACGTTGAAGGGCACACTCAATGTGACAAGATAACCCACAGGAATCTCCCTCACCAGATTCAGATGTGCACACTAACCAAAGACTAGGGTCCTTGTTGTCATCAAACAAATGACAGATACAGCAAGAGCACCTCTTGCAAAATGTGTTGTCTATGGGTAAAACAGCTCTACAAGCAGAGTTTTTACAGATCCATGAGTTTGAAGATCCAAAGTCTGGAGACTGCTCAGAAGCTGGTGAGAGTCGCATGGGATTTTCCCCCTTTCTGGCTTGCTTTTTGGGAAGATGATTATTCGGACTAGACGAAGCTTTCTTTGATTCCTGCTTCTTATTGGTCTTGTTAGAAGTCTTCAAAAGTTCGGACATTTTATGTTTTGATGAATTCAAGTTTTTCTTGTCCTTGTCAAAGCATGTTCGAAGAAGTTCCTTCTTGGGACCCGATTTCAGAAACTCTTGAAGGAGCTCTGGACTTCTTGAAGCATCATCTGAATGCCCATTCTTCTCAGGAGTGCTTTGCACACTGGAAGAGAGGCTTTGTATACCAGAAACTGGAAAAAGAAAAGAAAATGACAACAAAAATTAAGGGTAGGAGCAAATGTCAAAGCAACATTGTACTGCATAAGAAAGGGATAGGAAAAAATATAATTGGTTGTCAGAAACATAGCATTTAAAACAAGTTATAGAAAAGAATCCTCCAGATACAGTGATGAGGTATCTGTTAACAAGGTATGCAAAACCCAATCAAATTCCATTTATCTTTCTCTACTCTTCAACGCATAAAACATTTTATTTACAAATAAACTAAATCCTTTTTTATTATTTAAGTTGGTTCATGCTTATTTCTGTTTATATCTCCAACAAGATCTAGAATACTACATCACAATCCTCCATCTACAACAATTTAAGCTAAAAATCATCTCACATCTTGAAAGAAATGAACATCTAGTCCCACTTCACAACAGTAGCTCTACACATCTGTCCGACAATTCTGACCTGAATTTCCCCTTCCTGAGGGACTCTTAACCAAGTAAACATAGACAGAAGGTAGGTTTTATAGGGTGTCAGATGTACATCAGCAAAAAAAATTATTTTTAGATAGAAAAGGTTCAATATTTAAAGATGAAATCCACCACGCATTTAAACAACCATAAGATTTTGCATATGAAAAGAAAGTGGAAACAAAAAGAACTCGAAAACAATCCAAGTGTCGGGCAATAAAAAGTCAAACTTTAAGTAGTGAGAGCATGTTTGATACCACCGTTTCTTATTTATGAACATTGAGAAGAATCCAACATATCATTAGGCTACCTTGGACAGCCTAGTGAGAAGGTTCTCCTTTTCTATTTTCTATTGATGCTATGCCATCAATTATACCAAACATCCATTGAGAAACCATCATAGGAGCGTACAAACTTGAGACGATATGAATACAAAAAACAAAGATCATACCTTTAGCAAGAAATTTATCTTCGAAATCCATATTATGCAAAAGTTGAAGCAGACCTCCCTGCAACAATTAATTGGTAGAAAAACCTGTGCGTTAGAGAGAACATAGACAGAGTAATTGAAGGGGACATACTAGTTCTTCAGCTGGCATAATGTAGTTCATAGATTAAGCGCAGTGGACCCAGAATCACACCAAATAACACCGTGTAGCTAAAAGTGGAAGCAACAAAAGTAAAAAAATTCAGAACTAAATGTGCTTTCCAAACAAGCTAGGGAGTACCATGCAACTAGAAAATACGGCTCATTCATAAAAACTGAAATTTTTATACAAAATATAAAAGATTAAATATATAAAATAAATGTAACAAGTTAACCACATTTATAGGAGCATATAGCATTCCTTGACAATATTTGACATGCACATTGTGTGAATTTACCGCAAATAGTTCAAACGCGTTTTACATAATAATAAAAAACGGAATAATTCGAGTATGAGGGGATTCAAATGGACAAAAGCAAATAAATATTAGAAATTCTAAGGTAAACGAAAATGGAGTTTGAGAATACGAAAAGCAGGTAAAAGGAAAACGCAGAAAACGAAAGCAAAAACGGATCTGCGCTGAGAAAGAGGCTAAAAGTCACAAAATTTAAACGAAAGATACGAAAAGTAAAACGACGACGAATTGAGAGACGGACCTGCGAAGAATGGAGACGAACCCTAGGGTTTTGGCGCTCCTAGGCCGAAGAATTTTCTTCCGCAGAGAGCAAAGAATCAGACAGAGAGAGAAAGCGAGAGAGACTTCGTTTTTGTTAGTTGGTTTTGTGAGAGAAGCTTGTACGAGTTGTTCACGTTTTGGGAGAAGAGCGCTGGGTGGGAAAATCACGCGCGAACGAGTCGCGTGGGGAAGGCGGGTTCAGTAGGAAAGCGGGGTTGGTTGTGCCGCGCAGAAAAAGTACAAGGAGCACTGCCCGCCGATGTGATTGGTCGGTGTGTTTGTATGCGCTTTTAAGGCGCGTGAGGATGAATTATCCACAATTCTTTAATTTTCCCCAAAAAAAATTTGTATTATTTTGGTCATCAGAGCTTGCTGGAAAAAAGTGTGTAATTTAAGTCCACGTCATTCAGCATTTTAGACAATGTTTTTATTTGATGAGCGGTGATAAAATATGAACCGTTGGATCAAAAGTTCAAATTTGATTGAGGCCGTTGACTGGGGGGATCATATCCCAAAATAGACCCATGACTTTACACAGAATCAAATCATATGGGATTAATGAAAATTAATTAAGTCAAGAGTCATGGTTTCATACTAAAATCACAGGGATTAACACGTGTCCAAAGAATCTTGAAAGTTATGGAAAGAAATGGTCAGCCAGAGATACACGTCAAGCATGGTTTTGGTACTTTTCTTCTTTTTTTAATGACTGGTTCAACAGAGAGAGAGAGAGAGAGAGAGAGAGAGAGAGAGAGGCTTTATAGTTTATAAACTTTGTGCTTTTTTGTGTTGTAGAGTGTACAGAGTGCAAAGTGCACTTTGCGCATTTCCCCAACCGTCCTTGTGGCTTCATTGGTGCGTGATTTGAGATGACAAGTCTTTATTTTGATGTCGGGTCATGGGTCGAGCTGGTTTTTGGTACAAAAATGGCCAAGAAAATGGACTCTCTCTCTCTCTCGCTCTCATGGCATGCAACCATCTTTACAAGTTATGGAGTTCGGGAGAAATAGACCAACAAAATGTGGACTTTTCATACCAAGTACCAACCTTGACCCATTATTTAGATTCTAAGAAAAATGCGGCAAAAGAAAAGGGGAGCAATTGAAATGTCAAAGAAAGGTAGCCAAGACAAAAACCATTTTACATGAATTTCAAACCAGTCTCATTCGGGTCAAGGTGTGCATGGCCAATTTGGCATGCATGCATGATGACATTAAACTAAGGGGATGAATCTTGCTAGGGTTGGGTCGGGTCAGTCCACCTATGTGTGCGTGGGTAATTTCTGATCGTTGATTGCTAATCAAAGATCATTTATCAAAAGCATGTCATGCCCATACGGTGTACACTGAGGTCATGCCTCACAAAAGCAACGAGCAATGTGGCTTGGAAATACAATCCATTGTTAACCTAGCAACCATTCGTGGCACAATTGCACATTTACTCCACTTGTGTATCATGCACGCAAGCATCTAACACCAATAACACCAGGTAGCCAGCTACCATGACCAAGAGACATAATTTGCACAAGGACCAAAATTGAATGGCCTTTCAGAATGGCCCAGAAGCCATCTCTATTCTTCTCTGGTGGCCTTTAGAAAACCCCAAATGGTCACACTGACCACGTCTCAGAAAGAAATATGTTAACAATACATCCTTGTAGGTTGCAAATGCCCAGTACACTCATTTTCCAACCACGTTATAAATTCCAAAAACAAAAACAATTATGTGCTCCTGCTGCTGCAAGCAATCACAGTAGCAACTTATGGTGGGTCGGAGACAAGGACAATTGCCTTTAGTGAAAGACTATGAATGCATTATGCATCTTAAACGACACAAACCCTAAAGGTGGAGAAGCTATTTATGGATATCACCCACCAAACTTTGAAAAGTGATGACCTCTAATCTTTCCCCTATTGCAAGTCCAATCACAGCGGTTATTTGCGCTGGTTAATCATTTTCAAGGTAAGAAAAAGACATGTATAAACCAGGTTTTGAATAGTTGAACATGGTAAAGAATCTTATTAAAATGCTAACCATGCCTCTTCCCATGCGGCAAGAAACAAATAATTAGACAGTCATACGAATGTCAATATAAATAAATTAATATTTCAAATGGAGTCAACATAAGAAGTACCTATAAACCATCTTACAAATCTTAATCATTGGAGAGTAACAACAATGCAGGTCGTGGCATATACATACAAGATAGATGGATCACGATTTATTGCCCTCATAGTTCGGATCATACAAATATCTTTTACCTAATTTGATTTGCTTACCTATCAGTCTTGGAGTCGACAACTGGACATGATCACATATTTAATTGATGGGCACCACAACTACAGAGACCCTGCAAAGTGGGAATAATGACCAAAAGAAAGTTTGACATCAATTTATTAACAACTATGAAACATTTTAACGGTTCACCATTTCTTAAGTCAACAAGTTCATTTCACAAAGTTGGGAATCTACTTTAAAGATTTGATCCAATATATGGCGATGAACTGCTTTATCATTAAAAAAACAAGAATCAAAAGGATTCCTCGATCTCAAATCAGTATAAAGAAGATGGCTTTAAGCCAAAGCAAACCAAACAAATCTGATGCATATATTTCATATCCGTCCCAATCAAAAGATCTCGAGCAATTAGCATTTTACCAGGAACAATGATTTACCTTCACGTGACCAAACCAAGATTCCAAAGACCAATGTCCACCATTCATATAAATCTGACTTCCAGATCTACTACTATCACAATAAAGGTTGCCCAGCCTATAACAAGTAGTGCATCATGCACATTCGCAGGATGCATTCAGCTCCAGACCAGAATCTTAGGCCCACGGCTATGACAATTTGTAACCAACCCTTCAAATCATTTCTATAAGTCCTGACCAAAAGTGAACCAACCAGAGAAAAGAAAATAAACTGTCCTCACCAACAACCTTGATGTTCACTTTCACCAAGAACATGATATATCTTGTATGTTATGTTGTTGCTACTGTCTTTGCATTTAAAAATAATTTGCTTCCCTAGTAAGGAGCCACAAATAATTGGTCATGAAATTCACAACCATCCTTGTTCATAAGGTCCATAAAGCTTAGACCAAGGTATTTATATTAACCATTTGGTATCCCATGACAGCAGTAGTTTCCAAAATCACCAAATGACAATAGAATAGATTGAGCGGTAATGAGTTAAAACCCAATTATTCCAACAGAAAGCTTCAGAGAGTAAGAAATAACCACCATATAATATAGTGCTCAAATCCTAAAACCCCACTAATTGCAAAACATAGCAAGCATCTCCACTCTCTCCTAAGACCAAACAATTTAATTGGTTTCAGGCTCAGAGCAAAAACTATTAACAAGTGCAACGCTTGAGCATTGACTCAAGTTAGACTATTTTAAGTTGGGAATTTGTGTCATTTCTACGCAAGATGCCGGACATTTTTAATAGATTCAACTGGTTAACAATGCCAACACGTTGTTACAAAAGAGAAGCATACTAACAAGCTAACATTTCTAGAATAATCCAATTTCAGATTTGATTCGGCAACTATGCAAGCTAAAGAGAATATTCACAGTCGGTCCATAAATACATAAAAAGCATAAATTCGATTCCTTTAGTCTGAAGGAAGTAAAGTAAGAAGAACTCAAATTCATGAACAATTCATCAATCTGAAACATAGCTTTCAAGCTAACAACCACAAAACAAAAGCATTCCAGCTGAAAAATACCTCAATCACAATCCATGCATATACAAATCACAGAAGCACAAACTGAAAACCCTAACTACCACTCCAACGCCATAACCATCCGATTAAAACTTTGAAAAAACAAAATTAAACAAAAGCAAACCTGCTAAGAAGAGGAGTGGCGGCCCTCGCAAGCAGGGCTCTCGTCGAAGTTCTTAGAGGGGTACTTGGCGGTGACAGCACAAGTTTAACTCAAAAACATAACCAAATCATAAGCTAGAAGGGTAAGAAATAATATACAATTATGAACCGATCAACCATGCCGACCTCGAACACCAAGTTGTCGCCGCTCGACCTAATCCCAGTAATAGACCACCACTGGAAGAAGGCTCGGACGCTAATCCCATTGATCTCGGCGATTTTGCCCTGCACGATCTTGCCGGTGATCTTCTTCGAGTACGTGGCCAAGTAGTTGTCGGGAGGGAGCGTCACCTTGCACGCGCCGCCGAGGTCGACGATAAAGTCGCCGGAGGTCCGGTCCAGGGTGTAGTTTTTGACCGGAGAGGGTAGAAGCCCGATTGGGAAGCCGTAGTTGGTGAGCTCGCTGTGGGCCGGAGACGGGCTTGGAATTGGGTTCGGGTCCGGGGTTTTAGGGTAGGTGTTCTGGGTAGAGAAAGGTAGGAGGAGGAGGAGAGAGAAGCAGAAGAAGAGAGAATTGGCCATGGCGGTTTTTTCTTTTTTTCGTGTTTTTTTTCCTTTTTTGAGGGCGAATATTCTGAAGATATTTGAGAATGTGAGAAGAACTGAGAAGGTTGGCTCTGATTATCTGCTTTGGGCTTTTAGCGTGGTTTAATTTGTTGGCGCTCTGATAAGCCGCGCGCCCGGCGTTGCGCTGGCGATCAAAATTCTTAATTAGTTGGTAAGTTCGTTAAGACTTGATAAAAAGTGTTGTTCTCAATATTATTATTATAATTGCTATACTAATTTGTATTTGACTATAGTCATGTGACTTTCTGCGGAGTGTTTTATGCCGAACGACTTTTCTTAAGCCGCATAATAATTCTTTTTCTTTCTTTAGAAAAAAGAACTTTGTCTGCTTAATTACAATTTAAAAGTTTAAAAATAGCATCCGATGGAATTGAGGTGGGTATATCATATGACATCTTGATTCTTAATGGTTCCAACTAAGATTTTATTAAAAGTTATGGACACTAAACATTTAGTGTCAATAACAATTCGAACATAGGACTTCGAATACATGGAATTCAGCATTATCTAGTAACTCGGAGGTAAACCAAAATATTTTTGTTATCCATTAGAATGGGCTAGAGTGGCTTTTGCGTTGAGGCCTAAAAGATAAACTTTTCTTTTGGGCTACATTGGATGTCCAGGGGCCCAAGAAAATCAAAAGGTTGTTTAATTTTGTTGTAGCATAAAAATTTGAACTTTTATTGTTCTCCTAAAAATAAAATGGACCCTGTTTTCGACTTGAAGCTTCAATCAAAGTAGTAGAACGACAAAGTGGGGGCTACAGCCCTTCTGAAACTGATAATATACAATGTGAGCTTACAATCAAAGATGACAAGCCATTGACAAGAACTTGCATATATGATATAGAATAGAGAGAGGCCCGAGCCTGAAAAATGCAGGCGGTATATTATATAGTGTACATTATGACAATGGACACATATATATATTTATATATATATATATATATATATATATGTATATTGTTCATGGCCATCAGCATGGGGAGTTCCAAATCTCTGCGTTTTTAACCTTCGAGACACTCTCGAGCACTTCGCGAGGAAGAACATCTCCAATCACAACCACCATCTTGCTTTCCAAGTCTACTTTGTACGATGTCACTCCTGTTTCATTTTAACAAGAACGATCACTCTTCTTTTTTCAAAAAGGATTTTTAAAAAATAACATACAAAGAAAATACAGAAATTTGCAGACCGGTCAGATATTCAAGGAAGAAAATAATCTATAACTACGCTACGCATATTGGTGGCAGATAATGTATAAGATCAGATATTTCAGAGTATATTTGTGTTTAAAAACAAGGTACCTTCAATCTTTGAGATATGTTTCTCAACTTTTCTGGCACAGCCATTGCAGTGCATGGAGACCCTTAACATCACCATCTGCATAAGATATATATTTCACCAAAAGCCCCCTCATGTTACAAACCATTTATATATTTACCTAAAGAGAAATGAAAAGGAGTGATATAGAGTAGAGAGAAAAAAGATGGTCACCTTGGGCTTCAATTGAAACGCCAATGTCTGTTTTCCAGCAACAACATCCTTCAGTCTCAGAAACTGATCTTTCTCACCGGTTACCAATGGACTTCTTTCAAACTCATCTTCGTTTTCCATGGAGTTCATGCAGAAACAAGAACTTGAGCCAGTAGAAGAAAGGCAAAACCTGTCTAGCACCCTGCCCAAACTAAGCTTCCCCATTTCAACCACAACAAGTTCTTAGCCAAAGAAACAAATCTAAAGCGAAACAGAATTTCCCAACAGAAGAAATCTATACAACCGATCTTCCTTTCCACTTAACCAACCAACTGCCTCAGTCCTCCTAGTGTTGTAAATCCAAAGCAAACTTGTGTTGTGTGAACATTATAATAGAGTGTGTGAGAGAGAGAGAGAGAGAGAGAGAGAGAGAGAGAGAGAGAGAGAGAGAGAGAGAGAGAGAGAGAGAGAGAGAGAGAGAGAGAGAGAGAGAGAGAGAGAGAGAGAGAGAGAGAGAGAGAGAGAGAGAGAGAGAGAGAGAGAGAGAGAGAGAGAGAGAGAGAGAGAGAGAGAGAGAGAGAGAGAGAGAGAGAGAGAGAGAGAGAGAGAGAGAGAGAGAGAGAGAGAGAGAGAGAGAGAGAGAGAGAGAGAGAGAGAGAGAGAGAGAGAGAGAGAGAGAGAGAGAGAGAGAGAGAGAGAGAGAGAGAGAGAGAGAGAGAGAGAGAGAGAGAGAGAGAGAGAGAGAGAGAGAGAGAGAGAGAGAGAGAGAGAGAGAGAGAGAGAGAGAGAGAGAGAGAGAGAGAGAGAGAGAGAGAGAGAGAGAGAGAGAGAGAGAGAGAGAGAGAGAGAGAGAGAGAGAGAGAGAGAGAGAGAGAGAGAGAGAGAGAGAGAGAGAGAGAGAGAGAGAGAGAGAGAGAGAGAGAGAAGAGCTAAAGGTCAAATTTTCATTGGGGAGGGCAAAAGTTGAAAGAGAACCCAATGAGGCCTATGAAGGAGGAAAGGGAACAAGACCCAATAAATTATAGTTATATAACTCAGCTGGTCAAAAAAAATTAGAAGGTGATCCAGGAACCCAGAAAAACACTACTTTTAACTGTAACCTCTTCCTAGACCAAACACAAAACCCCAACTAGATTTTGTCATGTGACAAACTCCTAAACAATAAATTCTCCGAAAGTCTGAACGAGAAAGCTCATGTGAGATGAAGCAGTATACTGCAAGTGAGCTCTCTCATGTGACAATTCTGCTAAAGAAGGAGGGGAAGGAAGGAGGAAAAAGAAAAGCTCACAGTGACCAATGGAGGAAGTAGCAACATCACACTTTAATGACATGTGATGATGACTACTAGGAACGTCCAAGTTGGAGGCAAAGAATATAGTTATATATAAATTAATATATAGCTGGATCAATTTGGATAAGCATCTTCGCTATGTTTAATTCAAGATCAATGAAAATGAGAAACGTTTAGGTGGAAGTGATTAAAAATAGAAAAAGCAGTAATATTTGGTGAGCATCTGAACAAACCATTGAACAATTTTACATCTACCTAACAACATGACCTTGTTCAAAAGCAGTTTGTTTAGTTTAATGCAGTAAAACTATTGTATCAAGATAAGTGCATGTTGGTCATTAACATAGTTTTTGTATGAGGATAAAAGAATAGTAGAGTAAAGTAGTGTGTGATTAGCCACCTAATCCGCATAGATTAGGGAACCCCTCAAGTAACCCAAGAGTGCTTATTGTGATGATGGATAGTATAATTCAAAAAACAACACAAGACTTGAATGTGTTTACAGTTTTGTCTTGGCCTTCAATATGAAAATAGAAATGGGACAGACGGCCTCCCATTATTGGAGCCCATGAGCTCACTAATGTTTCTTAATAATTATATGATAGAATAAGTTCAAAAAAAAAGGAGAAATGAATGGTTCTATTCTCCACAGGTTGGTCCATGTGAAATGGTTCTTTATTATAACAGACCAATGAATGAACCAAATTTGAAAAAGCTAGTAGTGAAGTCATGTTAGGCACGTGTGGGTCACATGATTGTTGCTATGCAACAATAAAAATTGGGTGGCAAGTCGCATGTGGGTTCATCTGAATAATTATTTGTATAAACCAGCCAAAAGAGAAGGGATATGTTCTATTATGCACGATGACTAAAAGGAAGCAGCACCACTCAGATAGCCTGGTTTTGTAGGGTGACCAACTGTAGTGCACTTTTGATCATGGAGTGATGGAGCACTGCACCACTGATATGACAAGATATATATGTTACAGCAAAATTTCATCTTCTGATGCACTGGGAAGTATGGCCATGGCAACATGAGGTGGCATTTATTAGGTTGCCCCACTAACACACACACATCAATGAGAAACAGAATAGCTAGAGCTCACTGTTGTATATTATATAGTGTGAGAAGCACTTGCATGTTACGGGGTTAGTATTGTTTTACTATCTTCATCTAATAACGTTTCATTATTTGAAATCCTTATCACTCGTGACGGAATATGATTGATCGGGGATAGCAACACAATGTTATCCCCGTAACCTGCAAGTTATTCTCATATAGTGGACAGTGGACAGGTTTTTCAAACATGTGCATTGTGCAATGCAAGGTGCCTAATTTGCATTCAAATTCAAGGTAGCTTGAGAAACATGAGATTGCATATGTTTTATTGGTCAATTCCTTTTCCTATCAGGAAATAAAAATAACAAGTTGGAGAGATGAAAGAAATGCAAGGTTATAATACACCACATGTCTCAATATTACCAGAAAATTCATAATAAAGGAAAATATAAAAAAGACTCAGCTCCCAGCTAAGAATGGGATGAACAAATTACAATGACTCTGAGTCTGACTTTGAGTTTTTTCTGACAATGGTTTCATTAATTAGCAACTGTCTACGCAATAAGAGGATTATGTACCTGGCAAATGGAAGTGCAGATCTGACTCTACCAAATAAAACAGGTCCAAGTACTCTCCAGGGAATTGTTTAGAGACAAACAAATATACATTACCAATAATGTAAAGCAGCATCTAAAGCTCACATGGCACGGCATGGAAGGTAGAATATAAGGTTTAATTATAATTTAAAGCACGAGCCTTTAAATAGAAGTCTCAGCCTACTTACTTACTGTGTACATGCTGATCATACTAAATAACAAAAAGCTCCAAGTTTCTTTCTCTTTTCGTTTGCGATAAGTCACATAACCAAATCCCATGTGCCGGAGTTTTGTTTTCAAATCGAAGTTTGTAACTTTATTATAAATATATGCAGCAATGCGAGCAGCTAAACTGCTCAGTGCCCTTGACCAAAAAAAAAAAAAAAACTGCTCAGTGCCAGAGCGGTGAATTAGTGGAGACCAAAAAAACTACAAAATTCAAACCAGTCTGCAGTTGAGCCCCACTGAGGAGCAAAATCCATGTCCAGAGACCAGAGCTATAAAAAAAAAATTAGACAGCCAACTCTACACCGACAACAAATTAATAAACTCAAAATAAACAGATCAGGAGGCATTTCATGCGTTTCTTGTCCACAAAAACATATATATATTAAGTACCTGAAATTGATATAAATCCATGGCCTCGAGCATGTTCTCTCTCCACCATCCTCTGTCTTCTTTTTGATTCACCCATGGCAATGGCATTGCAACACTCTGCCTTCTGTGAATCGCTCTCGTGCTTTGCTTCTTCTAGTAATTAATTATTAATTCTCAGCCTCTAGCGAACCCGAATTTCCGTATCATATCAAAGGCAGGCACTGTTTGCTTCAACGGCGCGAAAAGTGAAAGTCTGGTTTTGGGTCTTTGCCACCACAACCATTGACGACCGCGCCAAATGGGAAGCAAATTCCAATTTCACAGCGGTTTCGCTTTTTCTTCGAACCAACCGTTTCATAGAGAAAAAATTTCAAGGCTGCTGAAGCCCATTCCCAAACGCGGGCCTCTAAACTCAAAAAAAAAAATCAAGGCTGCTGAACCCGTAACCCAAAGATTTAATGCGCTATACAGTTGGGCCTATAATTTGACCCATAATAATAACCCAACCTTTTAAACATTTTTTAATATTTAAAATAGGAATCATACACTTTTTTTGTTTTTTTAATTAAATAGGAGTAAATGCATAATGACTATTTTCAAGTGCCAATAACATTTCCCTTTTTCAGAAAGTTAACATTGTCTTATAATTAATAAAAAGAAGATTGATATAAATAAAAATACAAAGTAGTTGTCGTTTCGATATATATATATATGTCGGTTTCGTATGAAGTTTTTTTTTATGAATGGGGGATGGGAATTCGAACTTGAGACATATCCTATAATATTGAGAAGATAAGTAAACTATAATTTTACCATTGTGATAAGGTTAATTAACCTAGGCCTAGGTTTCATGTTTTTAAAATCCTCCCCACCTATGAAGATACTAAGCCCACATATAGAAATATTCACTTCAATACATTGGGGTCATTTTATCTAGCTTGCGAGTTGCAACTATCATCTCAAACTGATATGGACTTTAGACTTTCTTTGTCCTCAATACTATTTTTCTAGAAGGGAGTTGACTCCCATAATTTTTTTGGATGAGATCCAAGGGTGTCCACCGTCGACAGTAGTGACTAATCCCTTTCGCCGCGGGAGCTCTCCAAATGAGGTAAACAGCTGGCCACGAAATGCGCTCCATTCCCGTGGACGGGGATCGAACCCCCAACCACATAGTTAAGGAATGAGGTGATCTACCACCACACCACATCTCATGGTTAGTTGACTCCCATAATTCACTTGTATCTAAGTGAGGGGGAAAAAAACGGACGCAAAGATGATATGGTCAAGTGTGTATGCCAGCTAAACATTTTTAAATTTAAATTTTTATGGACCAACTAAGGTTGGTATGATATGCATGCGTTAATGAAAGAATATATGCAATAATGTGCATGTCGCAGTGGCACCGCAAAGTCTGCTTAAATACTGAATTACGTACTGAACAAATCCAGAACCAGAACAGCACAACAACTGTACATGGAAATGAATCCACACAATTTCGGAAAATAAAGAGAATCAGAATAATGGAAAATAGCTTTAATTTTCTGCAACTAACACATCAATGATAATTTTGTACTTTAAAAAAGAAAAAATACAAATCCGCATTTTGTAATTTTAAATATGTGTGCATCAGTTTTGCTTGTTGAATTACATATTTATTTTTCACTGATAGATTTACATTAATGCAAATGTAAGTTTTTTTTAAAATAAATTTATTTATATTTTAAAGAAAGTGATCGAATTGCATTCAAGTAGAATAGGGATTACATGGCACAGGCATGCCCAAAGTGGCCTCATTAAAACTCTCTCGTGGAAAAACCAAAGGGATAAAACCCCGGGGTAGGTTAGATTAGTTGACAAAGACAACATATTTTGATTACTTTTTTGTCAAATGATAGAAATATTATTGATAAAAGCCAAAGGCTGGATTACAATAGCCATACAGATAACTAATCACTTAAACTCATATTTAGACTCAAACAAAGACCCAATACAAGTTTAAATGGGTACAAAAGATATAATCACAGTTACGGTACACTCCATTAATGGAGTACAAAAGATAATCACAACTATGGTACTCCCTCAATCACAACCCTAAAGAGTTCGAATCTAGCAGCAAACCAATGTCACTTGGCCTTACTCCATCGACTTTTTCACGAAAAACTGAAAAACTTTCCAAAACATGACTTGGATAAACACAATATCGACTCTTTTAGTCTAAGATATCATTTCGTTAAAAAAGAAAAAGAAAAGATAACTCAACATTGACAAAAAAACAAAACTATGGTTGAAGAAATTGTGGTACAAAGTTTGTGAATAATAAAGAAAAGTTATCAACAGCTCATGATTAAACCCCAAAAAATGTAATTGATTAATAAAAATTGCGAGGGTAAATTGACCGTTAAACATTGAGTCGCCTTGTATGACCATGAACTGTCGTTGTTTTAAAGTTGAACAAAAATCTCCCGTCAAGATAGGGAACGGCATGACCATAGGGATAGGGTAAGGCCCCGTGTGTCCGATAACACCGTAAAATATCCCAATTCCTCATTCATTCACTCTCTCTCTCCTCCTCTTTCTCTCTCTAACATTTTATAGGAAGCAAAAGCACAATTTGGTGAAGCTCTGAGCTGTACAACAGCCATCGCCTACACACCCTTCAAAGATCTGCCACCTCTCTCTTTGCGAGTCTCATAGATATACTCAAAGTGCCATAGCGTTTGGATCTCTTAGGCGACGTCGTCTTCAGCTAGAGGACTGCAGAAGTAGAACAGCTTCTTCATCTGCAGCAAATTGAGGTCAGTTCTATCTATTTCTCAAGGTTCTGTATGGACTCTAATTGGTTTTACTTGTTTTAGTGCACGTCGGCACTCTGATTTTTCAGATCCGCTGCAGTACGTTAGTATCTAGTGTGGTCCGTTTGGTTGCTTAGAAAATGTTAGCTAAGAAAAGAAAATTTGGACTCAGTTCTTTGTTCTTGGACCTCGAGTTATCGAAGCTTTTGCTTGGATGTGTTTATCGATTTGGTTTAGTTTATGTAATTTCACTGTTTTCTGGTATTGAAATGAATGTAAAACTTAAAAATCCGTGTTGTCAAACTAGGCTTCTAGGCAATGAATTGGGGAATTAGTGATTTCGTTGTAATTTGGTAAAATGCTAGTTGCTAAGCTATAATTTATCATTGCGTCCTTTTCAAATTCATGTTTATGGTAGTAACTGTGGCTTATAATGAATAGGAAGTCTGAATGGCTAGTCGAGTGAAAGAGGACGAGAAAAATGAACGAATTATTCGTGGCCTTCTTAAACTTCCCGAGAATCGCAGATGCATTAACTGCAACAGTCTGGTACGCAATTCCTCGCATTCTTGTCCATTGATTGTTGGGTGCATTGTTTCATGGGGCACTTGTACATTTGATGATTATATGTTTGTATGTCATGTCAAGCTATTGATATGTAACATGAGGTGTGATATTAGGATTTTCCAGATAGAGGAATCATAATCCGCCTTCATGTAATTCTAATTTAGGCTTTATTTACTACACTGATAGGGCTGATTCTAGAAATGGATCTACCAAAACAATGTATCTTGTGTTCTTGTACAAGAATGCAAGTCAGATAAAGTATCATACAGACCGTATATATGAAACGTGGAAACTTTAGAAACAAATTAAGAACTGTAGTGCATATTTGATTCTCAAAGTTTTGTTGCTTCTTGTTAGCAATTTTTGTAAAGGTGTTCTTGCATTGCAGAGTGGGAGCAATACATTGGCCATGATGATACTAATATTAGGGTTTTGAGTTCAAAGATTGCATGTGCATATACTTATGTTTTGTGGTCAGGTTCATTTTTAATGTAATTTTCTACCAAGCAGGGGCCACAATATGTTTGCACGAATTTCTGGACATTTGTTTGCACAAACTGCAGTGGAATTCAGTAAGTCATGATGTGCTGTGCTGCATTATTTCTTAACTCATTCCTTTTCTTTCTATGTGTAGAGACAGAAGAGGGGGAGGGGGATGCAGGGGTATTTATTTAATTATTTTTCAAATATTCGCCTTTAGTGTTTCATGCACGCTACTTGTTGGTTTGCTTGCATTGTATTAATTACATGAAAATGTTTCCAGTCGGGAGTTCACGCACCGAGTAAAATCAGTATCAATGGCCAAATTTACTTCACAAGAAGTTAATGCCCTTCAAGAAGGGGGAAATAAGGTATTCGTACGTGTTTCTTCTGAGTTCTTAGAAATATGTGTGATTTTCTTTTTATCTGTTGCTAATCTTCTCTATTTATCTCGGGCTCGTCTCTGCTTCCCAATTACAGCGTGCAAAGGAAATTTATCATAAAGAATTGGACCCGCAACGTAATTCCTTTCCTGACAGCAGGTTAATACTCATTTTATTCTGTTTTACATTGATACTACTAGTAATGACTACGGTTCTGATTCAAATGTTTGCTTCCAGTAATGTTGAGAGGCTTCGAGACTTTATTAAGCATGTGTACGTGGATAGAAGATATACCGGTGAGAGAAACTTGGACAAGCCTCCAAGGGCGAAAATGGTGAGCTATCCTTTATCCCAAGATACATTATTTTGAACACAAGGTGCTACCATATAGACCTAAAGTCAACACACTGGTTTAATGTATACTTATACCATGATGAAAGTGTTTCAAATGTCTATGGGTTTAAGTTGTAAATTGCATGTCATACAGGGTGAGAAGGAAGACTCTTATGAAAACAGAAGACTGGATTCATATCAAGGAGGCTCTCGAAGCCCACCATATGATGATACATATGAACGTCGTTACAGTGAAAGGTCTAGTCCTGGTGGAAGAAGTTATGATGGGCAAAGAAGTCCTGGATATGATCTAGAAGCCCGGCAGTATAATGATTATAAGAAAAGTCCTGGTCGCCCTGAAATTGTGAATGATTGGCGTCGAGAAGATAGATTTGGAAATGGGAGGCGAAATGATGATCGCAGAATATCCGATGGAGATTCTAAGCTGGATGCTAAATCACCTGAAAGACCAAGAGATCTAGATTCGTCCAGCCCCCCTATTGTACGGCCTGTTAGAGATATTTTGGGAGATAACACAATACCTCTCCGTATAATTGAACCTCCAAAAGCTAACAGTGCAAGGGCTGCTGATGGCTCTGTGCAGACACAGGTTAGTCTTCCTAAAGTATTCATTTTCTAATTGAACACTTGATGGTTTAGTAATGCATATGCCTGTATTACACCATTTTCATTAACATGTGAGGCCAAGACAATGCTTCAGCTGTTACATGGAAGTGTATATTGTGATCCCCTGCATGCCTGCAATTTGATCATCTGTACTTTCCGAACTATAGTGATCAACAGTTGGCAGGAGCATTTTGTTGTCTAACTAATAAGTTCAGCTTTATGATTAAATTGGCTTGAACTAACAAATTCATACATTTCTGGTTTGTGTTGTGTTTTGTTACTTTGAGTTCGATTACTGCTCATTATTTCCATAGGCAAGTATATTATATATATGCTCTCTCTCTCAATACCTCCATTATTCCAGTTCAAGTTTTTACATTTATGTCCTTTTTTTCTTTTTCTTTTTTGTATTTTTGTTTTACTTTGCTTGAAAAAGCTTATCATCATGCAACTTACCTATTCAATGCTTCACACACTTTTCCTTAATGATATATGTATTAGTTCTGTAATATAGAAGATGATTGCATGCTGTTTTGTTGGGGATTTTCATTTTATTTTTATTTTAACTTTCCCATAATAATATACTAAACTTGTGCTTGTACTGTTTTTAATTGCAGAGAACTGCGTCTTCCAGCAGCTTGGGATCCACCAATGGGAATCCAGTGGAAGTGAAACCGGAGACTTCTGGAAGTTTAATTGATTTTGATGCTGATCCTGAACCTGCTCCTGCTGCTGCAGTTCCTCAACCACAACAAACTACTGTAGCTCAATCCTACCCACAGCCAGCGAATTCAACCAATGACAACAATTGGGCCTCTTTTGATGTTGCTCCAGAAGTGAAAGCACCACAAGCCCCTGCGAATGTGAATTCATTGGAATCTCTGCTATCACAATTGTCGGTTTCAGCACCTGGCCCTAGTTATGTTTCTGGAGCTACAGGTAATATGGGTGCTCCCACAATTGCATCATCAAGCAGCGTGTCAACATTTTCCCCTGTTGGTGCTCCGGTTCCTGCACCAGGATTGGCTCAAGTATTCCCAGTCAATGGTGGTAGTTTCGTTGTTAAAGATCCTACTTCTGGGCAATGGCCTACCATGCAGCATCAGCAACCTCCTTTATACTCTGCTAGTGGTATTCAGCCTGCTGCTCAACAATTTATACCGTCAGTTGATGGAGCTTCAAGCAATCAGGTAGACCTTGTGGTGGTATTGTTGATTTTGTTTTTGTATTTCGTTACAATTTTTTGATTTTTTTCTCCTTGTTTATTGTGGGCACTTTTGGCAGCCATGGAATTTAACACATGCCCCACATGCACAAGGTCAGCCAAGTATCTCTGCACCACAAGCACAACAAGATGTCTCAAGATCTGGCCATGATGTTAGTACTATTGCATCACAACCTTCAGCTGGTGATGCAAAACCAAGTGGAAGAAGAGAACTTCCTGCGGTAATTATGTTTTTTATTGGGCTTTGTTGACATCTTAATATATTAGTAAAGTTGGACTTTTTGGTCTTATAGTTTTGGTCCGATTCCACTTTAACCCTTCTAATTTCAACTAGTTTACCCTATAGTTGCTAGCATTTTCAATTTACATTTTTGTCACATTCCTTTACAGAAAATGTGAACTTTTTCACTAATTTCACCTAGCCAAATTGACCAGTGTGACAAATTTGAAATTGAGTGATTCTGAGGTGTAAATTCGTTTACCTTTGGACCATTTTCAATTTTTCATAAACCATTTGACAAAAATGCAAATTTGGACATACTGAAAATGCTAGCAAACTATAGGGGTAAGTTTGTTTAAATTACAACTACAGGGACCGAAGTGCAATTGGACCTAAACTTTAACCATCTTTTTATTTGTATGCATGCATTTATGTATGTATGCATTTTTGCATTTCTTTATTTATTTAAAGCTGGATTGATTGCAGGATATGTTCGCTATGAACTTTTCATCCTTTCCTGCACCAGTTCCTGGATGGCAAACTGGTCCTCCTCGTGCTATGGGGTTCGCTATGCCATATAACACTGCAGTGGTATTTTCTCAACTCAACCTTTTAAAGATGATGAGTTGGTTCTCTTCCAAAAAATGACTTGCATAAACCTTTTGTTGTTCTCATTGCATTTGAATCTCTGTTTCTATATAGCCCATGCCTATGTTTCAGCAGTCATCAAAGTCAGCAAACCCTTTTGATGTCAACAGTGAACCTCCAATACAAGCCTCAACAGTATGTGATTTCAATTCATTTCAACTTATTCTATTTATTGCATTTCTATTGTTTGTGTTAGCTTGATATACATTGTTGGCCAATTCTCTAACAAGGTAAGCGTTTAGGATCATGTGTTTGTCTAACAACTTAAGCTTTCAAGATCTTGTGGTTGTCTAATAACTTAAGCTTGTAAAATCTTGTGGTTGTCTAACAACTAAGGTTTTAGAATCCTGCGGTCGTCTAACATGGCATTAGAGCTTTGGTTGTAAGAGGTTGTGAGTTTGAAATCTTCAATCCTCATTTGCCACTCTTATTTGTCAGTTTGCAAGGATAGAGTTGGACTGCACCCATATGTTCCTCTTTGTATGTATCTGTCCGGCTCTATATGTGCAGGATGTGACTACATGTTGAGGGATGGTGTTAGCTTGATATACATTGTTGGTTTGTTCCTAACAGCTTAAGTTTTTGGGTTCAATGGTTGCCTGATAAATTTGACTTAGTTTTCTCAGATCAATAACTCACCATAAAACTTGCTTTGTTAGCTGAAATCAGTATCAAAGCATTTTTTTTTCTTAACTCTGCGTGTTCTTGATAACTCCTCAATTGATGCACAAATTTATTTGAAGCTTCTTTGATGTGTTTTATCTGTAATGCAGTTTCCTTCTGCGGCATCCTTTCAAGCTGCTCTACCAAACGTCCAGTCTTTGTCCCCACCAGGTTTAGTGCGCACTTCCAGCCTCAATACTCCCTCATCAGCTTGGATGCCGCTCCAGTCATCATCATATTCGTCAGCGGTGCCTCCCCAAGCACCACAATATGCATCACAGGTGCCTCCCCAGTTATCATCATATTCTTCGGCAGTGCCTCCCCAAGCACCACAATATGCATCACAAATGCCTCCAAGTAAGATGATGCTGGTTTCCTATTTTTTCTTCTAGTAAATAGTGAAAAATAGTTTCTCATTCTCCCTTTTGTTGGCAATGAGTGCTGAGTTGTGGTTTGATAATCTCAGGAGCCTACATGGTGCAACAAGTTCCGAGTAGCATGCCACCTTCCGGGTAACCATAAATTTTAGGTTTTTTCTTTTGAATATTTTCTTACTATATATTCAATAAACATTGGATAACATTAAATGCGAGTAAATTCTCTGAGTATTCTTATTTTTTCTTCGGTTTTTCTTTTGTACCCTAGATTGGAGGTAAGTTAGGGGCTATTGGCATAGTGTCATGACAAGTAAATCCCTCCAGTTAATTTCCTTAAGGTTCTTCTATATGGTATGATAGAATTGGGGTTAATTTTACTGGCCGTCACATGGTGTGGTTATAGCTAGGTAGCTACACTTCTCTTTCAGAGGGGTTCCAAGTTCAATCCTCATCCTGGAGTTTTGTAACTGATCATTTTTGTTTTCCTTTTTACTGGCTGTTTCCCCATGGTTTCACCAATGCGGGTGTTACAACATCGATTGGAACTTCAAATATTCTTGCATTTCTGATAAATAAGTTCTGCATGTGTTCTGTCCTTTACCCCTAAAAAAAATATATGCATGTGTACAGAGTAATTTATGCATTTAGATGAAGTGATCTGTTGATAGTGGTTTCCCTTACATAATCGTTATACTTGTAGGTATCAAGGAGCAGTGGGCTTTGGCAGCGAGGGCTCTGCTTTTGCTTCATTAAATACAGATCAACAGCTGATAGGTAGATTCTCAGCTCCTGCTACCCCAAATCCTTACTCGTCTGCTGGAGGAAATCCATTTGGGTAGATGCAAAGAACAAGGTGTCTCTAATCCCATTTAGGGTAAGCATCATCTTGTTGCTGCTGCTGCCCGTCGAATTGCCAGGTGGAAAGTATTGGTTTCTATCTTGGTAGATTTTAAGTTATCTGATGCTGCCTAAAGAGTCAGAAGGTCAACATGTACAATTTGTTTGCTGTTGTAAGAAAGTGAGAAAAGAGTATATAGTTGAAAAGGGGATAAAGTGGTAGAGTTGCCTGCTTCAATGGGGACCCTAGGTATCTATTTTTCGCCCAGCCAAGCCATTCTATTGGGTGATCTACAAGTTTAATTATTTTTTTGTTCTAGCTGCCCCTTGTAGTTCTTTTTTTGTTTCCATTTTTTTTATTTTCCTGGTATGTTGTATGATTTTGCAATCTCTTCTTCATTGTGTTGTGAGCTCATTGAGTTTATGGAAGTTGATGAAACAGTAACAATGGTTTTACAGTGAAATGCAGTTTGTATGTTAATACGATCAGATGATTTTCTGTGATACGTATGATTTTACGGTCTTTGCCTTGGTGCCTAATTTCCAGTAATGTTGCAGCCTCAAGCTAAATATGTCTTGAATTGCAAAAGGACCCATTGGTAATTTGTCAATAGCTTCGATTGAGACAAACGAGGTCGATCGATTCGTGAATAAGGCTAAATAGACACTGTCGTTTTTAGCCTACTAGCTTACAGAAAAGGTTGGGGCATTATTGGGTTTTGGCTTTTCATTTGTGCTTTGCTTTCAATCACTCAAAGCAAACTGAATAATACAACCTTCATGTTCACGTTTCCGAGTGTGAAAAGCTTCTCGCGTGTTCAAAGCCAACCTAACCTCCTCTTCAAGAGCGCCTTTCTTCTTCTTCTCCTCCTCTCTACATTCTACTGACATGGACTGGAAATCACGAACTACAAGATCCTCGAGCAGGTCGGATCCGGATCCTACTCCGAACCACTGAGGCATGTCTTATGTCATAATCATCTTATTAATTAGTTAGTTCTAGTTTTAACATGTTTAATTAATTATTATGTCAGATAATTTGATCAGTTTATTACTTTTGTTGTATTAAAGTTGTCATTAAAAAATAAAAATAAAAATCGTCTAATCAAATGTTCAAAGAATGGAAACAAAATGATACAACCATGCACCAAACCATGGACCTCAAAAGGAAAACAAGAAGCTCAATATCATCTAAAACCCTTCACTTAAAGACATTTGCTTTTCAGTATTGTAACATATAACAAGATGCTACATTCTTCTACCATACAGGGAATGGATTTTCTCACACTATATGCACAAGGAAGTGTTATGAATTCACAACACTAGGTATGTGGGTAACTTGTATGCTGTTTTTTTTTATACCTCCTTAACTTTTTACTAGGCCCTTAGAGGAAGGTGGAGCTGTCCATGACCTGAGGCTCTTCTTGAGTATGCACTTAGTTCCTAACTTTCGATCCTCTCTTTGCCAAGGCTTAGACATTCCCACATGTACAACGGTTGATGAATGGGGCAGATGTGAAACAAATTTGTTTAACTTATGCAGATTCCGCCGTTTGTCTGCTCTTCCATATGATTGGAGCAATCAGCATCCATACTGCAAAACAGAAATTTCCTCTCAGAAACAACAATTTCCACATGACATCCAAAACTCAAATGCAGAATCTTATACTCACAATACACGCAGACAGCGATCCACTCGTTCACAATCCTCACCCATGTGCTGGCCCATCCCACATCAATTGTAAATCTGCAGAAGGGGAGCAACTTATTGAGGAACCAAGAAAGAAGAAGGGTGTTCAATTTATTCACAAAGATGTAAATTAATAGCGAAGTCACAAGACAGGAGAAAATACTTTTTCATAGATTGATGAGTATTCCAACCAATCAACAGCATTGCAAAGTACATTGCTCCTGTGGCAAAAACGAAATGGAAGAAGCCATAACCGTATGGAACATCATCCTCAGATTCTGTCTCATCCTTCCTGAACTGCAGATACTGTCAGGTGCATTTTAAGGGAGCTATAAATGACCAATTAGAGGTTATTCAGGCAGTCGAGCAAACCTGAAAGCATTTAGAATCTATCCCCGTTGAGAATGTTGCAATAACCATCGCAAGTACGGCAATGACAAAGCTCTGTCAACAAATGAGTCATTGTCACATTTTGGTGTGGGAGACAAGAAAGAGATGAAAGTTTGCAATGCAAGCTGTGTAAACTCAAAAGTTTCTGTTGTTGGTCATTCCAATACATATAAGAGAAGTTCTAAACCTCATGTGGTGCTATTAATGAAGACTACATACATGTTAGTGTTTGTAATTCATTGTCTTCTTTGTTTAGATTCAAGATAATATCAGTAAGGGGTGAGACATAGAAGTAGCAGATTTAATATGCATTTAGAATTTATATGAACATCATTAAGTAGAGTATTACTATGATGGTGAGCCAATCTGTTTTGTTTGAAGCTTCTGCCTTCCTGTTGCAACTTTCCCCTGTTGGCTCACTGCGCGTTAAAGCAAACAAATTTTGATGACAGATATTCTCTGAAAGAAATATATCAACCAAACTCATAGGCAGGTATAGACTTCATTCGAAGTCAATACACATCTCTTGATTGGAGGGTCAAAACAGTGAAGGAAGCATGGCATATCATCCAACAAGAATTTAAGTCAAGTCGGAGAAGAGATTAAAAACCCTACCTTCTAATGGCAAACCAGCAGATGAATACTATATAGAGCCCCATGAGCCCTGGAGTCAAAATGCCAGCATTCACCTATTTCAGGTGGAAGTTAGCAAGCAAACCAGATTAGAAGAAGAATGAAGTAGAAGGCAAGGTGATAACCAGAACTTACTTTCGGGTGGAGAGAGACACTGGTCATGAGTTGTAGAAGTACTAATGTCCACGTAATGAAGAAAATGTTGAGGAGGCAAGATGGTTCTGGTGCATACCATATGTACATCAATATGATCCCCGTTAAGCATAAAACATATGCGGTAGTTGCAAGTAGCATGATATGAATTTGGCTGCAGTGAAAACCTAAATTTAAATTAGCTGCAAAATCCAAGTAATGAATATGGCTAGTAGCTGCATGGAATTTGTTTTCAATACCCAAACAAGCAGAGACCTGAGTTAGTTTAAACAAAGTCTTACCATCTTTCTGATTTGGAAGACTGACAGCAATCGTTCAGCCATGTAATGAAACTTATTATGCTTATTAGCTGAATCAGGAGAAATACCCTGATAAACAATACAATACTAAAACTAGTTAAAACAAGACTAAGATTTTTAGTTTGTCTCCAACTTCAGGAAACACATTTCAAAAGAAAAAATTTACATGATAAAGACAGGAATTAATAAAAGGATAGAATGATACCCGGCACCAAAATGCGCAATCTCCCCTGCCAAAAGATTTGTATTAGTGACAAGAAATTGGGTATTTTTGAAATGAAATTAAAATGAAGAAAGAAAAAACAGTTTGAGGTTTTTGGGAAATGGGATTATACTAACCATAGAGCTGAATGATTGCAGCAGGAAGCAAAAAGGGAATAATAATGAAAGTAACCCAGAGGACAATCTTGGCAGACCACCATCCAGATTGCCATGAATCTCTAGGCTCCTTCAACTTTGATGCACCAGCCGTCGAAAGAAACATTGTGAAATAAAACATCTGATCAAGTATTAAGGCTTAGTTTACTTTAATCCATTCGGAGACAAAACAGCAAAAGATTAACGAACAGTTACACAAAAGGTCAAGAAGAGTGATATAACAAGTTTGGCATTTATATCGAAACCCTTCAAAGACTGATACATTTTCGCAGGAAATTTCAAGAAAGCATAGCAGAGAAGGATACAAAGCATGCCAAGCTGACACGCAGAACCCCTTGTGCACCCAAACAATCTTTCACACCATGGCATCCTTTTAATCCTGAACTCACACACAGCAGCAGCCAAGAGGTGTTAATAAAAATGTAGAGCATGATATGAAGGAAAGGAGCAGAGAAGAGCAATTCTTACTTTCCATCTCCGTCAACACGCTGCCTCCATAATCCCGGACGGCCCATGCCAGAAGATTTGCTATTAAGAACATAAAGCCGTAGACATATCTGGCCATCCAAGGATTGGAGCCATTGCGGAATTGGCTGAGCCATGACTTAAACTGGTGTTTTGCATAACCGCTCTCCATTTCTACTCCATTCAGGCTCTCTTGTTCTTCACAGAAATCATCAGTTTAGCAAAACAACCAGTTGGGTTTTTCTCTCTGTCACTCTCAGTTTCTGTCTTCCCCTGCACAGTTGAAAAATCCCACCCAAAAAAAAAAAGGTCACATGCATCATAGGAGCAGATACAGTTACCTAAGCGTCAAAACTGACCATTGAAATGTTGGGCTCAAATCTCAGCAAGTATTAGCAACATGGGTTGTGATTGTGAAGTCATAGATTCTGTCCAGCCCAAAAATGTAACTTAAACACATACCTTTCCCCAACCCCATCTTTCTATTCTATATATAAGTAAAACACTATATCATCACAATACTTGTGCTGTGCACAAATTCCTGCCCAAAAGAAGCAACTTGTGCACAAAGTTTGCAAGTAATAAACACTCAAACCCATTTATTGATTAACATTATCCTTGAGGTGGTTTGTTTGTTCAGTTTTGCTTTTTGGAATGAAAACATTCTCAACGTCTCAAAGAAAGTGATCACAAAATATTAACTGTGATGCCTTTTGCCAGTTGAGTTGCTGCCCAAAAGGAGCATAAAAACACAAACGTGAATTGTACGACAAGAATTGTATAGTTGATGAGAGAGAGAGAGAGAGAGAGAGAGCTGAAGAGCATATTATTCTCCTAGTTGATTGATAATGGAGCCTGATTCTTTGCACAATAGTTCAAATCAAACCAATGCAGGAGCATAGAATAGAAGCAAGCACACACGCCAAATGGCTCTCTGCTTGAGGCTTTTAGTTTTAGACGACTTGTTTAGAGAGAGAGAGAGAGAGAGAGAGCTTTATGATTGGACCCCACAAGTTCAGACTTTTTGATGAAGCAGAAACAAAGAAAGAATCTTTCATTTCGTTGATTTGTTGCTCCACTCCTGGGGGTAGGTGACGTGTTATTCCAAGCTATCAGAATTTTTTTTCGTTTTGGTTTCTTTGCCTTTTTGTTTATTAATTGTATTGTTTTATATTATTAACTAAGAGACCATTTCTTCCAGTCCAAGCGTGCTCTGTGCCTGAATATCTTCCCTTCCATTGAACTCCAGAACTTACTCTAGGACGATTATACCCTCAAATGCTATGCTAGGTCCGGCTTTTCTTTTTCCTTTTCTTTTTCTTTCTTTTCTAGGTCCTAAAAAGATAAAGAGCTAATAATGGAGAGTTATGTTTTGGCAAACTTGAAATCTGAGTCTATGTATACA